GTTCTTGTACAGCTCCCCCAGATCACTATGAAAGAAGCGTTTAAACATTACTCTGCCCCAGTGTGGCACGTCTGTCCTGTTAGCATGTTTCACGCTGGCGTGTCCCACAAGTGTCCTCCATCCTCCTCTTCTTACTCCGCTGCTGTAAACTACACGGGTACACAAAGAGCACAGTCTGAGGCAACGCCTGACAAGCATTTGACTAAATTTAGGCGGTGACAAGTAAAGTAAAATAATGCTCGCTAGTTTTATTTTTGTGTTTACATGCGAGACTGCTGCTGGCTGTAAGAGAGACCGGATATAGTTTGACGTGGAGAAAAAGTGAACTGTGGGAATCGTAGTCGTATTGTATCAATGGTTAGGTTACATCCCGCTGCTCATTTTTCTAACTGTACTGTTCTAATTGATTCCCTTGCCAATAAATTAATAAAAAGTAAACTAAATAAATACTTTCGTTTATATTGTAAATGAACATATTAACTTAACACCATATTAGCTTTATTTATTTAATCTTTTTAAGTTAGTTGATTTCACATTTTTCTAGGGTTACTTGAAACCCAAGGATAAAAATGGCATGCTATCATTGCTAACTATCAGACATAAACAGTATAAAAAAGTATAAGCTAGCAAGTCAATATGCCAAACTCTGGGGTCAGTGAAGATGGTGAGATGTTTTGTTTGTTTTTGGCAATACAGGAAAGTAAATATATGCCTGCTTAATTGTTTAAGCAACTGTACATAATTTAAACTGTAACAAATAAATAAATAGAGCTGATGTTAGCTTTGTTAGTCTAGCATAAGCTACATAGCTAATTAATGTTAGCTCAGAGTAAGTAAAGAAGTTGGTGTTAGCTACCTTTAAAGGCCTAATATTTTATTGTTTTATGTGATCAGTGGCGTCCATTTTAAAGAAATAAATAACCCCTTGGCTTAAACTTTGCCAATGAAAATGAAAATTTGGCTAAATTGGCGGCCAGGTAGTTATTTTATAGACTTTCACAAAGTGATTCTCATGATTTCCAGGACCGCCTGGGTTTTCGTTAACCAAGGCAGTGGAGGATGTGAGTCAACATGGCTATACCCAGAAAGAGGCCCTGAAAGAGAAACAGAGGACACTCAGTACCCTGCAGGTTCATCTCTAACCCTATTCCCCTACAACACTGATTAACTAAATGCAAAACACGTTGGGCAATTATTTTTCTGAAGGGGCCAAATGAGCAATTTTTTATTTTATCTTTTTTACAAGCTTTTTGATCTGCTCCTCCACAACAGTCCCGCTTTCTTATGTGGCCCTTCGGAAAAATTAATTGCCCATTCCTGCTTTAATAACATAGTATAACCTATAAAGTGGCTATCATAATACAAAATGATGGCATATTAGATAGATTTTTTTTTTTTAGCATGGACACATTACTCAGCCTACTGAGCACAGTTCTGTGCACCCAAAGAGCCAGGAAAATCCGTTGTCTTGTCCCAGAACTATACTATATGTATAATGATGCAAATATAACCGTCAAAGTAACTAAGTCATAAAATGTTACATAAAGAGACCTAATTAACCAAAATATGCCTCAAATCCACCACAAAGAGGTGTCAAATGATCAAAAAGAGTCACAAAATATAATTAAAAAAACACAACGGGAGAAAATTGTCTAGAAAGTGAAGTAAACATTTATTTGCATAGTTTGTGGCTTTCTTTATGACTTAATTGGACTTTTTGGTTTGCCTTATTTTCCAGGCAACTCTGTCAGAGCTTGAGAGGAAAAACGAGGGCATAGACAAGGACCTGAGATTGAAAGTGAGAGAAATCCTAGTGCTGGAAAGTGAGATGGAGCAGCTGGAGCAGCAGACCAAACTCCTTCATGATCGCTGTGTATCCATCAGCAAGGAAAACACAGAACTCCAGATTCTGATAGGTGAGGAGGAGGAGGTTGCACAAGTGGCGCTTGCAGGGTTCAACGCTTACCGAAGTAAGATGGAAGGCCACAGGGCAGCTGTTTTGCATGCAGTGAGCCAGACAAAGGCCCATAACGAGCTGAAGGAGAAGAAAGAACTAGTACAGATGCTGAGAAAGCAAAACGAGGAGCTGAAGGAAGATTTGAACAATCCAAATGGAAACACAGTGCAGATGGCAAAGGTGGTCTCTTCATTTTAATCATAGGGATCTTTTTCAGAGATCTTCAGTATCCATAACTATTATATGCTCATGTGTGCAGCGAGAGATTAAAGCTCTGAAAGAGGAGGTCTCCCTGAAGATGAAGACCATATCTGAGAAGAGACAGCTGCTCCAAAAAGAGTCTGAGATTCATGCCCAAATAAAGAAAGACATAGAGGTGTGCAGACTTCCCCAAAAGAAACCAGGGACATCTTATGAGGCTGACATTTGTTCATAAAACAGCTAAATCACCTAGATAGAATTTGTATCAAGACATGAGTTATGTTTCAGTCTGAAAGAAAGCATCAACAACATCACTTTTCCCCCTTCCTCAGATCCAGAACAGGCGCTATGAAGCCATCATGAAGCGCCTACGCTGCCAGCTGAGCAGGGCACAAGCCAACCACAGGTAGAAATACTATAAACATGTGACAGTAGACATGCTACAAATAGCTCTAAATGCCAGAAAAGAGATGATTGATGTCCCGCTTCTAAATACTAAAGGCTACTAAGTTGTGCCTACTTTCCCTTAGGCAAATGTCTGATGATATCTACCACATGAGGAGACAGCTAGCCGAGCTCAGGAGTCAGCAGCAGTCATCACAACCATAAGCAGTCAGTGGTCATTGAACTGTAGTGTCAGATTAATGTGGGTTAATTGTTCTGTTATTGGGATAAATGTACACCAGTTGTTATTATGAGTGTGTTAGTTTAACAAGGAAGGAGCATTCTTGTTACTGAAGTTAAACAACAGGGGGCAGCCGTGACCACTGAATGCCTGACCCTATCTGTTTGGCTTTCTTGCTTTATGCCAGATATTTATACAAGAGTTATTGCTGAATGTGTTCCTTGACATGTGCAAGTTTTCTTTTCTTGTTTTTTCCCTTTTCTCTGATGAAAAGCATAAATATGGAAATGAAAGGACCGTGTCTTGTGGCTCAGCATCAGCAGGGGCGTGGGATGGGATTTTAGGTCAGGTGGTGTTAGTGAATCAGTTCATCCACAACAGTAACCCGAGCAAAACACAAGCCAAATGTCCGCTGTAACTGTCAGTGTGGCAGTGCTGCTTTGGTACACCCTGTCCCAGCTTCTGCCTGACTGGGCCACTTGACGGTTCTGAGGCGACAGTCCCACTGTCGGGTTAACAAGGGCGTGACTGTGCTACTTCAACCATAACGCGAAACTAATTAAACAATGAAGCTGCCTTTTCAAAAGATGAAATCACATCAGAATGAATTGAATCAGCCTCTGAGAAACCCCATAACTTTATAACTCTACACTTTTCACATCTGAGTTGTGTCCTTGTGGGTCTTTTGCATTATTTGAACAGCTGTTCTACAAAGCTCAGAGATGTTGCTGAGAGTTGGATTTTTATGAGCTAAAGACTAGATTACAGCAAATTTGATTAAGACCCAAAGCTTAAATAGAAGATTCTGTTCAGAGTTTAAAAAAAAAAACCCATGAAGTTTTAGCCACAAAGATGTTTGCAACATTTAAGAACAATAATTTCATGAAATATTTGTGCAGCAGTTGTAGGTATGTGTTGTCTCACCTACAGCGTTAACTTGTAATAAGTAAGTGTGTGGGAAGTCTGGTTCAGTGTGCGTGAAATCAAGGACATTGTCTGGTTAACTAAAGGTTGGGTTTCATCCAACATACTGAGTTTCATTCAGCAGTACTGCTCTATCTGAATGGCTTTGTTAATTACAATGCTGCAAAAAAAAAAAAGAAAAAGTTTTGAGCCACCACAGCAATCTATCAGAAATACAGCATATAAGGCAAAAACAGAGTTTGTACACTTCTTATGAGCTTGAAAGTCAATATTTGCTTTGACCACCTTAATTCTTCAGCACAGCCTGAACAGCTTTCTTGTCATGTCTTTAAGTAGTCTTCAGGGATATTTCTCCAGGCTTCTTGAAGGACATTCAGAGCTCTTCTTTGGATATTTTTTTGTGTTCTCTGTCAACATGATCCCACACTGCTTCAATAATGTTGAGGTCCGGGCTCTGGGGAGGCCAATCGATGACTGATAGTGTTGCACTGTGTGTTTTTCTATCCAGGTATGCTTTTACTACATTAGCAGTGTGTTTGGGGTCAATCTGAAAAATGATGTGGTTACCAATCAGATCAGTTTTCCAAATGGTACTGCATGGTGGATCAAAATCTGATGGCACTTTTCTGTATTCATAATTTATCAATTTTGACAAAATTGCCAAACATGACAGAGCCTCCACTGTGTTTTACACATTACTGCAGACACTCACTGTGGTACCACTCTCCTGACATCCTCTGTACATAATGATGATGATTTGAGCCAAAAATTCAAACTTGTATTTACTCCATAAGACCTGTTGCTACTGATAGATGGATCAGCTGAAGGCCCAGATGACATCTCTCAGGTCCCGTGTTATTCATAATTGGTTCTTTGCTAAGGGTAAATCAAGGCTTTTACAGAGTATTGTATATTCTGAAGAGGACCGCCCTCTGCTTTTTTCTGTTTGTGCTACTCA